GGCGGCGACGTAATCACGATGGCCTTTCTCATTCCGAAATGCCCAGTCAATTCAACGCGCACTGTCAATATCGTCAAAATATTCTACTCATGAGTAGAATATTATTTCTTGTGGTTTTCACGATATTTTTGATAAAATTATGGAATATAACTTGGTCACGAAATGGCATCCAGACACGCCAAATTGAAGTCGCTGAGATTCTTGAATATTTTGCAAAATTATCGCGATATTTCTCAATAAAAGTGGTATCCAGACGGGCCCTTAATATTTGACTTCTTGAATTTTGTATCGACATACAAAATATATTATTGAAAACCATACGGTGTATGGTATGATGCCATATGTCCTCGCATATGTTTTCGGACATTAGAGCATTGTTATAGTATACTTTAATGAAGTTTAAATTAAGCCTAATATTTGTATACTATACGAACATCAAATATAATCTCGGGCCGAATAACTGCTTTGGGATTTTTTGGCGGGTCTTTCTCGAGCCACCCTGAGCGAAAAAAGGCAGGGTAGTTATTGTTACCTATACGGTACTGGTAGTGTACAGTACTTATGTACTGGTAGGATTTACGCTCCCACGAGATTCCGAAGCCTAAAAGATGTCACATAGTTTAATCAAGATAAAAATCGCGGTCAAGATAATCTTGCATAGTTTGGTCAAGATGAAATTTGAGGTCAATATAACCCAGCATACTTTAATCAATATTATATATTCCGACAAAAACTGAAGAGTCAAAATATGCCTTTGAGGGACGACGGGTCAAATGTGTGCATTTTCTGTTAACGGGATTTTCTCAGTGCAACACTAACGGGATGACGTCGCTACGCGAAATCGATTTGTAACAGTTGCGAATTCGCATTGGAGGCCACAACGTCGCGCCTTGAACGTTCTCTTTATCCGCGCGGAGGTGCGCGGCCTTTCTGAGCATAGTGGAGGTAGGAGGTAGGCTTGCTTCTGATTACCGGGAGGGGTTCGGCGCATTGCCGGGGTTTAGCGTTAGCGAACCCGGAAAATGAAGACTACACTTCAACCTAACTAATGTAGGTTCCAGGGCGTCAGGGTTCCGATGTTTCAATGCTCTACGTGGGGCAAATACACATTTGGATTGATATTTCATGCCCGAAGCGCAATTCCAAATTCCTGCCAGGACACTAGCGCAGCGACGTGTTTAATAACAGTATCAATTCAAGGCTAAAGTCGAATACTAATTTTAGTTTAAAAATAGATCAAATATGGTAAAAAGTACATCGGGGAATCCACTGGTCTACTTGTGTTTTACGTTAGTAAATGACTAGAGGCAACCAATACTTTTACCTGTAATCTGGTAGCGACTTACTTGCCGTATTTACGTTAATCCAATAATATCACTTCATCACACAACGTGTCCCTGTATTTTCATTCAACAGACGTCCCCCAGTGCAAGGTGAGAAACAAGTTCCCAATATCCATGGTCTTTACTGCTATTTTTGGCTTGTATTTACATATTAGCATCGAAATGTCGGCGGAGGGGGTGGCGGTGGGCTGTGCAGCGAATACGCGTCCAATGCCGGCGGCACGAAGCTATCACAAAAGCGTAAATGACTATTGGGACGACAATAATGATCGTACCCATATCTCTTTTTCACGTCGGCCTTGACGTTTTGCAGCAGCTACAAGAGGTATCAATTTCGGTATTTTTAGTTTTTTTAAAGTTTTACCAAAGTCACGGTGGTTTGCTGGGCCAGCAAGGCCGCCTTGTCTTGGCGCTGTACCTGCTTTTGAAGTTCGAGTTTCTGCTTTAACGTGGCGATTTCGTCGTGGAGCGCTGCGTTTTGTTTCGCCGTCAGCTGCATCTCTTCCAGTAGTTGGTCCTAATTGAATAGTTCACATATTAGTCGTCGATTAGTATGAGCTTATATATAGTATGATAAAATATTAGATGAAACAACCTTCTCTGCTTGAACGTGTTTTAACGCTGTTTCGATCTTTTCTGCATACTTCACCTCGGTCACTTGAATCGATGTCCTAGGTAAATACTGTAGTAACTTAAACCTGGCATTCCAGTGACATAAGACATAGTCAAATACCCTTTGGCCTTTTCTTCCGCGACCACGTTTTCTGCAGTGTGTAGGTCTCGACAATACGACTGGTAAAACCCGTTCAACTGATCCACCCGAAGTTGCGCGACGACTACCAACGATCGGGACTGAACGTCGTCTGTGGCCGAAAGTAGACTGTATTGTCATCGTGATGTCATTAAAGTGAGGGAACAACTACTGACAAAGATATTTTATTTAAATTTAAGAAAAGAAAAAGAAAAAAACTTGAAATGTTTGATGTTCCAAAATTTAAAATAACAAAAAATAAAACATATTTTTATATTAAAATTAAAAGAAATTTATATTAAATAATAGTACTAATTTCATTTTATAGAAACAGCTATCATTCAAGGACTGACCTGGACGACGTGGTGGCCTGCTGCAAGTCTTCCATCAACCGAATGTGCTTGAATTTATCCGCAACTTGGGCCGCCGCCTCCTACCAGTACAATTCAATGTCAGTAAGTGGCATTTAAGTTGAAATAGTACTAAAACTGCTGCTACTTCTAGAGTTATCATGAAGGTTACCACGACAAGAAATAACTTCATAGTAGGTGGATGTACCTTTGGGTGGCCCTTTTGCAGCGCTTCTTGATGCAAGCACACCCCCGTCAATTGCTCAATGTGGTCGGTAAAGAGTCGTTGGGATTCGTAATATTTGGCTTTGAACATCTAAATAATCGTCAAAACATTTCTATCGTTAGTACGATTTTCACAACGTGCATATATACATGTATATTGCGTAGGACGTACTTGCAATTCCACGAGAATGTGCTTGTTCATGGCGTCGAGTTTCGAATTGTCCACTTCGGCCACCTCCAACAACCCTTCGGCTTCGAGTAGATTGTCGTTTACGCGCAGCAAGTGCCCCAGCACGTCCGTCTTCTTGAGCAGTCGAAAGTACTCCTCTTCGGAAATGCTATCCGGTGGCTTGGAGGTCGACGCATGGGTCGTTGGGAGGGAGATGAAGGACGCTCTTGGAGACTTGGCAAACGAGCACCGAGTTATGGTTTTGACCAATGTAGTCGCGGCCACAGGTGACGGGTACCTCGTGTCTACACTGAGGTTGATATGGTTTTTGCCCCCTAGCTTGGCCTTGGGCGACGTGCGCGTCATGTGGATGGAGTAAGACAGCTATTTTCGGAGCGAACCAACGGATGTCGGATATTATCCGTAGAAAACGGTTCAAGATCGTCATCCATGGACATTTGAGCGATGTGAACTTTCCCGGGCGCCCTATTGAGGACTGTGTGAATCAATTTTCGTTGCCTTCAGAAAGAGTCCATTAATGAAGCTTGAGAAGCAGTATACCATTGCAAGTTTCTTCACGGTCAACGTTTTATTAGGGAAACGTCATGTAGAAAATGGGGAATCATATGAAACTGTAACGTTACAAATACTACTATATAAGGTAATTTGGTCCTCCACAGGCCTCGATTGGACATTCGGTGAAGTGCACGATTGGGGCTCACTCCTCGCCAAGGCACCGCCTGCACAAATTATACACACGACCTCCGCTGCGCTGCGGTGCGCGCAATTTTGTGGGCGGATGCTCTGTCGTCGCTCGCTGCTGTAACGCTAGGTCAATTCCCTTGTGTTTTGATACACGTGTGTTTCCCCCAGATTTCTACCTGTGATTCCCTAATTCTTGTGTGCACGAACATTTGACTCTTGTAAGCTTCGTTGGACTTGCTCAACAATGACAAGCAAGAGGTCCTAGAAGCAGCCAACAATGCTAGTGGACAACCCACTATCACCACCAGCAAGTCGATCACCGTCGCCCCCATCCCTTCTACTTCCTACAACTTTTACATCCACCTCGACGGGCACTCGCTCTCGTACAACTGCGAACGACGCACCGCCGATCGATGGAACTACACATTGGCCACGGACAAGAAGGCCGCCACTCGTCCGTCTTCGTTCGACACCGACCAGATGATGTCGAAGGAGTGCAACCAATTCAAGACGAAGTCGTACGCCAGCACCCACCGTGGCTTCGACCGCGGGCATCTGGTGGCCAGTTCCATGATGACGGACAGCCCCGAGCAACGCCGCGGGTCTCACTATATGACCAACATCGCTCCCCAAGTCTCAACCAAGGCATCTGGGAAAACACCTAAGACATCGAGGCGTGTTATCGTAACCTCCAGCGAATCTACACGTGGGGGGGTATCTTGTACACGGACGACTCGAACGATTACTTCCTGGACAGCCACGGCATCCGCACGCCCGACTTTTGGTGGAAAGTGGTGCTCACCAAGGACGACAGCGGCGCCGACAAGATCATTTCGTGGTTCTTCCCCAACCAGGAGAACTTGGGGTCATTGGACTCGTTACTTGGTGTCTGTG